AATAAAACCCTCGCCAGCACAGTTTGCACAACAGCTGTCAGAAGTAAAATGCACAGCTGGGTATGGTGCAGCACACCTGTGAGCCACGCTACTAAGGAGCCTGAGGCAGAAGGAGGGGCAGCTGAGAGACTGAGGCTCCCCACCCCTACCAGGCCCCCATGACGTGAAGGCCCGCAGGATACCTGGCTCCTACAGGTCCCCAGCACCTCCCAATACTGCTGCTCTGAACCGGGCCTTGCACGTGCGGGTCCCTGGGGAACCACTTGCGTCCCAGCCACAGGAGGAGTGCAAGGGAGGCCGCGGGCTCCATGTGATTCGCTCTCGGCTGCTCAGCCAGGCCAGGCACGTTAGAGCAGATCAGAGAGCAGGAGGGAGGCTTTGCTGAGGAGGCTGAGGACAGGCAAAGGGAGAGAGACCCCCATCGACCACCAGTCCTAGGGAGGGGGGCGCCAGGGAGAGGTGAGTTCTGCTTCTCACACCAGCCAGAGGCCTAGGCCTGGCCCACAATTGAGGGGATGACAGGGGCACGTAGAGGACATGGTGTGGACGAGGCGACAGAGCCCGGGGCCTGCAGGGGTGTGGAGCTCAGCCTGTGCGCGTTTCCTCAGCACTGGGTGGAGCCCAGTGGGACCAAGCTGTGCTGAGGCCGTCTTGGCCCCCGTCCTGCACGGCGCCCACCGAGGTTAAGACGCCTCAGAACCCAGCAAGCTGTGAGCCACCCTCGGAGGCAGGGGTGAATATGCAGGGGCACGGAGTGCGTCCGCTGCTGTGGCTGCGAGACCATGGCTGAGATCATCAGTTTCCCAACATAGAGGCTCCTTCAGGTCTCGGCCCTGGACGTCCCCTCCGTGGCCGTGTCTCCCTTGTTTTGGGCCTGTGCTGAACATGTGGAAAAGCAGCAACTGAGGATCGAGAACTACCTTATTCCCAAGTTGGACATAAGGGTGCACGCCTGTCATCCCTTCTCGGAAGACTGAGGCAAGAGGCTGGCAAGTCGGAGCTCGGCCTGGGCAACTTAGTGAGGCATTGTCTCAAATTTTAACTTAAAAAATGGATTGGGGCTAAATCTCTGTGCAAAAGCCCCAGGTTCATCCCCTAGTGTGTACACACACACATTAACTTATTCTCCTAGTACTTCTCCTCCACTCTCTTAAATTCCCAGATGGGGAGTTATCTATCACTAGTTTTGTATTCCTCGTCACCCACCACTACTTAGCTACCCCTAGTTACTTATTGCTAGTTACCCAGCGCTAGTTACAACCCTGACGTCATCCCGTGTGTCTGCCCACACTGGGGGAGAGGGGCTCCCGGGGGACCTGGCCCACACAGCCACCCGGGGAGGACAAGGAGAGGCTGTTCCCCCATCAGTCCCACACGTGGTGGTTCTTCAGTTGCCTCAGCTGCTACGAAATGGTGCGTGAAAAGGAGAGGGCTGAGGGGAGATCACTGGCTCCGGGTTCAGAAAATGTCTAAAAGGCTGAGAGGAAAGATAAGTAGAATTGCACATGGGTCACGACAGTTGTTCTGCTTGTCCCAGGAACAATTTGCAAATGGTGTTGGGAATAGAAAACCAAGTCGTGGAGTCATGGAAGTCACAGAGTTCCAGAAGTCAGGTTTTATACCATGTTCTGTACAACTTTTTTCTCTGTGGAAGCCTCGAAGCTGCAGAGGTGGAGAACACGTTTTTGTTTTGGTTTTGTTTTGTTTTTCTGGATAGACCTGAATGGTGCCACAATTCTGCTTCAAATTATGAAGGCATCAGGAGCGAGCCCAGCAGAAAGGGAACCTACACGCACATGCCGCCCCCAGCACCAGGAATTGAAACCAGGCAGTGCTGAGCTGCATCCTCAGCTCCTTTATTATATTTTTTAATTTATTTATTTCAGACAGGATCTCCCTAAATTCCCCGGGCTGACCTTGAATTTGTGATCCTCCTGCCTCAGCCTCCCAAATAGCTGGGATTATGGGTGTGTGCCATGACACCCAGCCCCAACCTCAATCTCCTGAGTTTTGGGATTATGGGTGTGTGCCACCACACCTGGCTGGATTTTGCCTTTCAATCTTGTTTGAAATCTGTAAAACACAAGACTATACCTCATTATGCCTGAAATTTTTGTTGCAACTCTGATCAGCCCTAATGAACTGCTTCTTATGTCTCAGTTTCTCTCACATGTCTACATATGGACTTTGTAATTCTACAGGTATGGTGGTGTGCACCTGTAATCCCAACACTCAGGAGGCTGAGGCAGGAGGATGGAGGTGAGTTCGAGACCAGCCTGAAGTACATAGCAAGACCCTGTCTCAAAAGACAAAAAAGATGAGTCGGAGATTTAGCCCAGTGGTTCTGCCGCCTGCCTCGCAAGCCCAAGGTCCCAAGTTTGATCCCTGGTACCAAACAAAGTTGAATTTAAAGTAGAAAGTAAAACAGTGGTTAATAGCTGAGGGCGAGCTGGAGAGATACTGGTTGATGATACAGCATTTCAGTCAGGAAGTTCAAGGGAAATATTCAAGATGCAGTAAGTGTACACACCAGTTCCCCAAAGTGAATGTAATCATTGTGTATCACAAACATATTCTAATGGAATTTTAAAAGAACAACAAAACCTGTGTATGACAGAAATACTTTTGAAAGTGACAAGGGCGATGGAGTGAAGGGAAGTGGCGTGTTCTGAGGGTGATTAGTGGTGATGCGGCCTTTACTGGACTCAACTTTTTAGTTTTTCTTTTTTTCTCACAGAGTTTACTGGTACTTTTTAGGTACATTTATCATTTGGATCTTGTGCTTTTACATAACAGATTTTTCTTTTCACATGAGATCTTTGTTAAAGAGCCGAGGCAGCGCAGTTACATAACAGATCTTGGTTCTCATTTCTTCCCCATATCCCTGCCCTTCCTTTACCCCCTCCACCCTCTCCTATTTACAAAGACTTTGTTTACATTTTTTCATTTTCTCTATTTTTTTTTCTTTTCCCTTATTTCCCTTCCCCTACCCTTCCCACTTCCCCTACACGTTTAGCCCTCTTCTTCCTATTTCACATTCTCACTTACACCATTAGGATCTTATTTACTTTTAGTTTTTCACACCAGAGAAACTATCTGATATTTACACATGTGTGACTTATTTATTTCACTTAAGAGTATGGCCTCAATATGCATCCATTTTCCTATGAATGACTCTAGTTTCTCATTCTTCATGGCTGAGTAGTATTCCATTTTATAGAAAAACCACATCTTTGTCCAGTCTCCAACTGCTGACAATTGGGCTGTTTCCGGGTTTTAGCTATTAAAAACTGTGCTGCTATAAACATGGGTGCACATATATCACTGTGGTATGATTCTTTTAATTCTTTTGGAAAGATACAGTTCTTTGAGGTATCTCCATATTGAAAAGTGCTGTATCTTTTTTTTTTAATTCTCTTTTTTTTTTTTTGGTGGTATGGGGATCGAACTCAGGCATTTGTGCTTGCAAGGCAGGCGGCGGAACCACTGAGCCAAATCACTGGCCCTGGAATCAGCTTCTTAAATTTCTGTTTTGAGACAGAAACTTACTACTGTTTGTAGTCAGGCTGGCCCCAAATTCATGGCCTCAGCCTCTTAAGAGTTGGGATTACAGGTGTGCACCACCGTGCCCACCACTTTTTTTTTAATTAAAAAAAAGAAATGTACAACACAGCGACTATAGTTTATAACAATATACCATATTCTTAAATTTTAGGTTTCAAGGGTTCTCACCACAAAAATAAGTGAGAAAATGCATATTTGATACTCCACAACGTACACACAAGTCAAAACATGTTCTGTAATAGACTGGGGATTTGTCTCATTGGTTCTGCCCCCTGCCTCGCATGTGCAAGGGTCCAGGTTCCATCCCCGGTACAAAAAAAAAAAAAGTTCTACAATAAATGTACACAATTTTGTCACTTTAAAAATAAGCTACTGTTTTCTCTCGGTGGCGTACCTGAGCCTGGGCTACCTGCTGTAAGGCCGGATCCATAGCACTGCTGGCCTCCGCTGCTGCCCTTAGCTCCCGGCGGTGCCCTGCAGGGAGGCCCACAGGCGGGGCTGGGGTCAGGGTGGGCATAAGCCGCGTGAGCACAAGCTTGGATCTGACAGCCCAGAGGGGGGAAATTTTTTTTTTTTTCAGTACCGGAGATTGAACTCAGGACCTTGCGCTTGCAAGGCAGACATGATGCCGCTGAGCTAAATTCCCGCCCCCCCCAAAACTACATGTTTAAAAATGGTTCGCTTTACTGTACACAAAGATGCCTCCATAAAATTGGTATTTATGGCCTCCCAAGCGCAAGGACTCGAGTTCGATCTCCGGTATCCCACTCCCCAGAAAAAAGAAAGAAGTGATATTTATGTTTTTAACATACCACTGACATATTTCACATGAAACCACACGTCATCTTCCAAAAGCTTGAAAACGAATGAGCACTGATTAAATTACAAAATCAGGTGCAGTTATCTATTGAACGTACAAAATACAATAAACGAGGCGGGTGTGGTGGCGCCCGACAGTAATCCCAGCACTGGGCAGGCCGAGGCCAAGAGGCTCCAGTCCTCTTCCAGGCCAGCCTGGCTACATAGTTCAAGGTTAGCCTGAACTGCGCAGCGAGATCCTGTCTCAAAAATAAAAAAACAACTATAAATGAGAAGTCCACATCACTCAAAACAGTATCAGGTTTTAAGCACTTCACCTAAAAACTGAAACAGAACAAGCCAGCGCCACAACAGGAAGTGTGGCAGCAGACAGGATAAACAGCGCAGGGACTCGCCTGCCCTCCACCGCGCACGCACCCGGAAATGTGGCGCCGGGCTGAGCTCAAGGGCGCACGCGCGTCGCCGGCTCGACCGGCTCGGCCAATCAGAAGGACGAGAGACGAGCCTTCCGGCAGAAATACCCGGCGCAAACAGGAAGTGTGGCATTCTGCTCTCGGAACTGTGGGCCGGCGCCATGGAGGCCTACGAGCAGGTCCAGAAAGGGCCACTGAAGCTGAAAGGCGTCGCAGACGTCGGCGTGACCAAGCGGTGAGACCCGTGGGACCCTCGGTTCTGCGGCCGCCCGAGACCGATTCCCGGTCCTGACCCCCTGGTCGACTTCACGCGCTTCCCTCCGTTTCCTCTTCCAGGAAGAAGAAGAAAAAGGACAAGGACAAGGCGAAGCTCCTGGAGGCGATGGGGACGAGCAAGAAGAAGGAGGAGGAGAAGCGGCGCTGCCTGGACAAGCGGACGCCGGCGCAGGCGGCCTTCGAGAAGATGCAGGAGAAACGGGTGAGGCGGCGGGGCGGGTGGGGTTCCGGGGGAGTCGGGGTGCGAGGATCTGGGTTCCGGGGCGAACCGGGGCGCAGTGGATCCGGTTCCGGGGTTGATCTGGGCGGAACTGCAGCCCGGGCTCTGACCGCCGCTCGCGACGCCAAGCCGCTGGCTTCCTCTCTCTCTGGGTCTCCCCATCTGCAGGAGTCAGGATAGGATGATTCTTTCTTCCCATAGGCGCGGAGCTTTGGGTGAAGCAGTGCCGTTGACGTTTTAGGGCTCAGCCGTCCTGAGCAATGTAGGCTGTTTCCATGGCGACCTCGTGGGGCCATCGGGCGTCAGCTTGCGGGGTTGGTGGGGAGAGCAGAGGTCAGAGTGCTGCGGGCAAGCGAGGCCTGCCATGCTAGAGAGAGGGCTCAGCCTAGGCCAGCGGTTCTGGTTTGGGGTGACGCCTCCCCCACACCAGTGCATTCTGCAGATATTTAGGATTCACAGTAAGGCAAGGGTGCTGCTCCGTTCTGGTGAATAGAGACCAGGGAGTGCTAGGGGCACACACACACACACACACACACAATGCAGCACCCCTCCCCCAGATGGTCTCAGTACAGAGAGTGAGTGTCTGCTTCCCTGGGCTGTGATCCTAGAGGTAACACAGGGAAACTGACTCTGTCCGGTCTCGTTCAGTTGTGCTCGAAGCTCAGGCCCGCTCGCTCTGCAGCACAGGCCCGGAGCATCACCATCTCTGTTACTCACTAGCGGAGTAACTCTGGTCAGTTTGCATCCACTAGCAGGAGGGCTGGAGTCTCCCCAGCACAGTTATGATGAGGCTGGAGTGAATGAAGCCCTTCTGTCCCTTGTAACCCGGAGAAGGAGCGTGGCTGAGATGTGTGGTTTTATTTTTTGTGGTAGTGGAGATTGAACCAATAGCCTTTGCACTGAGCTACATCCCCAGCCCCTTAAAAAAAAAAAAAAAAAAAAGTGTTTTTGTTGTTGTTGTTGTTGTTGTTGTTTTGACCCAGGGTCTCACTGTAGCTCAGGATGCCTTTGAACTCACTGTGCAGCCCAGGCTAGCTTCAGAGTCGCAGCAGTTTTCCTGCCTCAGCTTCCCAAGTGCTGGGATTACAGGCCTGCACCCCCATTCCTGATGAAGACCCTGCACTCTCTTGAGTTCAGGGGGTGGCTCATTGTCAGCTGGCCACAGTCCCCAGCCAGTGAGTGCAGGCGGTGTGGCTTCCTTTTCTTGTGACGGAGCCCCTGAGCTGAACTGTGAGCCCCCTGACTCCCTGGGTCCCAGCCTGAGCCGATGTCATCTGGGTCAGGGATTAGGGTTGCAGCGGTCATGGTACAGAATGGTTCCGGAATCAAACTGGGGAAAGCGGTCCCGGTGCTCC